AGCAGTGTACCAACACTTTATATGCCCATATCTAACTTGTGTATTCCTCCAAATAAATAGATCTTACTCTTCTAGCCATTATGTTTACAAGCATATTTAGGTCACTTTCCTTAACAAAGCACGAGAAAGTACCAAGCTTGGATAACTTGAAGACGAGGTTAATGGACAAAAATAACTTGATTTTATCTTAGTGTGTTTCTAACTTGACAGATAATTAAATAACATTATTCATTAACACCATAGGCTCCAATGTCGGACCAACACAGTGACTGTGAACCAAATCAATTCCACCTAGATGGACTACGTCAGATAAAACACTTGCGAAATTTGGATCACATTAACCGCGGAGACTCAAAAATTGTTTATACCTTGTGAAAAAAACATTAACATGCAGCACTGAAAAATAGAGCAACTCAAAGCAGTTTCTTTTGGGAAGGTGAGCCCGTTACGTGAACATCAGAACGTAAGGTTTGAAATTGCACTTTCATGACGCCACTTCACATTTTTGTAAAGTGTTTTATGGAACATAAATGAGGTCTACTGCTTCATCAAGAATTGCTCGGAACTAGGACAGTGGATCGTACATTCTCAAAGTAATCACTGCAGCCCACAAACGGCTTTATGTAAACAACTGCAACTGAGTCGCCCTAATTTCGGTCATAGCTGAATATTTGCTTCCGCAGTGCTTTACTGTGGCTTTAACTTAAGAACTCAGCATTCAAGTAATGATTAAACCAATATTGTGCCAGTACTTTTGAAAGCCTAAACAGGAAAATCAGAACATTTTGATTGGTCATGTCTTAACTTAAGCTGTAATTATTTTAGTAGTATAGAAGGTTTCTTTAAAGCGGTACAAGAAATTTTTGACAATCATTAAAAATATTACACAGGAATATAACTTCTTTAACACTATTCATGGGTAAAGGTCTTTGCAACATTGATTTCAAAATTAGCAGATAAATACCTCAAAAAGTATTTACCAGCTTTTGATGCGGTCAAGTCGAAATTAATTCACAAAAGTCACTTACCATTGGCTTTCCAGAACTCTTGCCCATAGGCCCTCTTAAGCAATAAGTTTGAAAAATTTTCAAGATTTTAATGGTGGCTTTTAAGCTATGTGCTTAAAATTTAGCACATTATTCATTAATGTCAAGTGTTTTTTGCCAATATTTGATTACAGACATATTTTTAATGAAGTCAATTGATAAGAGCAATGATTATTTGTCTAAATTCGTTGTAATATTTTGACATAATTATGCTTAACTTAGGCATATTGTTCTAGGGTGATTTACTTAATTTTTACGATACTTTTACTGTGTGCGGGACAGGTTGTCATTGGCATTGATGTGAATGAATGATTATCAATATGTAGTGAACTCATTAACCAAGGAGCCTCGTGTATAAGCTTAACCAGACGACAATGTGACGTCCGAGACAAGTAATCGATGTATGGTTTTCAAGGCCAACATATAGAAATATTAGGGTACATCGAAAGAACTACCAATAACAATGGTAAACTCACTTTTCTTTACGTAAGTGAATGTGGCCTGCTCAGCAACCATCTCCTTGTCCATAATCTTTGCCCTCACTGTGCATTTGTACATTCCAGCGTCGTTTTCTCGGACCTTATGTATTGTAAAAGTGCGCCCTGTGGCAATTATTTGGGTGTCATTTAAAGTCCATTGGTAAGTCAGAGAATCACTTATTGGGCCACGAGGGTCACACACAAACACGGCATTTTGACCCTCAAACAAAACGTGGAAATTCTCCGGATCATTTGCAGTAATGTTTCCTTTTGTGAACGTGGTTGTCTTCAGAAGAAGGTAGCAGAAAATACTAAAATGCCATGACGGCAGAATGGGTCTACGGACATGCCCCATGATGCCTGAGTGCGTTTGCGCGTGTTAGGCTGTCTTATATGCATGCCCCGGCACTACGTGAGGACCAATCACAAGCCTGGTGTGTTTGTTGCCGGTGTGTGTTTGTGCCGCCCTCACGAATTCGGCAGGCAGTAAGAGCCCAAGACGACGTCCTTGTTAATAAGCGAATTAAGTAAGTTAAATAACATTATGGTTTGATAGAGTACTTTCAATGGACTATATGTTTTATTGACTTAACTGAAATTGTCGGACTAACTAACGCAAAGAGTTCAGACAGTACTCTTTTGGTTTGGTCTCGTAAGTATTTCAAGTTATCATGGTTTTAGCATAGGTATTCCTGACACATTTACCTAGCTTTATTCGAAATCAGTAATTAATTTAAATCAATTCAAATAATCGAACAAAGGCATCCCGAATTGAGCGTCATTTTACTAGGGAGTTGAAATCGCAAAAACACTAGAACATTCTATACCAAGATGTTCAGGTGACCAATGCTTAATTGGCATTCAAAAATTTTGTAGACATTTGGCAGTATCTGTAACCGATTAGGTCTGCTTTCTAGCTAATTTCACATCTGTGCCAACTCACAAAGGATAGATTGTAGCTACTTTTGCCCAACCTTTCAGCACTTCCAGGGCCAATAAATAGATATGCGCTTTTTACCATTGAGATGTTTAAATTTTTGACAAAGACATTCTTCATAAGACTTTGATGCAACATGGTCAGTTAGAAATATATCAGTTTCTTTGGTGTTTTTATAAAACTGCTTAAATATTGGGCAAAAGTAAATCAAATTTCTATTAATCAGCTTACCTGGCGACATTGATTAATTATTGGGGCCAATTCTGGCTCGTGTCAGCAGCTAGCCTAACTAAACGTGGTTTCTAGGTCGTCATGAAAAAAAAAATCTTAAGCATTTAAGGAAATTGTGCAAACGTTTGGAAATAATATAGCCAGATGGCGTAAAGTCAAGACTGTGTGAACAACGAAGTACCATCTCCTAACGGACCTTCAGTAATTTGCCACAGACCTTGCACTGCTTTGGTGCAGAGTAATTCTATGAATTATGAATTCTGGTGGCATTTCGCATGCACATTAGATTCCATTTTGTATCATTTTTTTTACAGGAAACACCTGAGTTAGCTCTTTCACAGCGACTTAAAATGCACCGTGTCTATCTACTCACGCTAAATCGGTACATGAACTTTTTAGGTAAAATCCAATCCTCAATGTGGCCTTTACTGGTTTAGAGTGTTAAAGCACGATCCTTTTTATTTATGCAACCGTATAAAAATGTACTCTGTTTCATGCGAGACCCAATACATAGATATTTCTCAAGTGTTCAGGACACTTAAATTGTAACTGACCTTAAGTTAGCATTTGTAAAGCAATGTATACGCAATTTAATAATAGTGTTCAAAAAGTGGTATTTACACATTTGATGAGCATACAAGTCATTTCATCGGCACAAATGGATAAAATCAAATACATAGGCTTTTGTAAACATCCTCGAAAAACAGATGAGGTTGGACTACTTTACAACCCTAATACAGGTTTTAACAAAGATCAAAAAATTTGCAAGGTGAGTTGTTGAATTAAAGAATACTTAAATTTATAAGAACATTTTTTCGGGTTGTTTACAAATTGACCATGTTTATTCATGTTTGCATTTGAGCAGTTCTATCTAAAGGCTAATCAATCATGGCCACATTATGGCCTTTGTTTGTACCTTATAATGACGGAAATAAGATGCTACTTTTCATTTAGCAGAGGTCACATGATTCCTATCGCGTTCCGGTCCGTGAGAACGCTCCTCTTTCTCTAAAAGCCATAAATAATTCATAATGTCGATTTCTTCCTTTAAGTCCTCAAACCACAATATATATTTAACGTACCGTGAACATTATTGCATACGGCATCAAGTAAAAATAATGTTGTACATGACAAGACGCCAAGTCAATAGATTGGTGACAACCATTCAATAAGATCCAGGAAGTTAGATATGTAGGTAGGAACTTAAGTCACATTATGGGAAGCACTTGTCCCTTCTAAAAAAGCTATCTGTCTAGAAATCCATCTAAGCAATAAAAGAAGTTATTTGCTTAGCATAGCGGTAAATTGCAGCTCCTTTGTCAATGCATGTGTCGATCCATTAATTTTTTTTAAAAAATGGAAAGAAATTCTTTAACTTTTTATTTATAGAATAACTATGCCATTTGATTCAGTAGAGATTAAGGTAAATATGTGTGTTTAAAGTTCAGAACTTAGAAAAGAGAGATTTCAAGGCGTGTAAGCCAGAAAAGACCGTTTTATGACAGGTGGACATTCGACACTTCCACTTCTGATGAGTGAATAGGGTGCTCAATAGCAAAAGTCTAGTCATCTTTCTTTGAATGTAATGTAGCCAAATGCATTTAAATTGTATCTATGGTATGTTTCTACAAAATTACGCAAAGGATGTTAAATGTAAGTGATTTCAAATTTACCAGCTGGGGATAATAAGTAACATTACGTTATAGGAACAGTGAGGTGTCTAAAGACATAAAAGATAAAAATACAGGTAAACAGGCAAGTAAATCATCATATTCATTTGAGCAGAGGGAAAAGGAAAAAATCCGTAAATTAAATGGTTGAAAATATTGAACAAGAGCATACCAAAAAAGCAAACATTGTCGTAAATCGCATATATTCCTTGTGATTCATTGACAGAAAATGCTGAAAAACGATAAGGTTTTGCGTGACCATGTGCATATTTATCCGGAAGGCGCAATATATTTTTGCAAAAATTGTGAGCAATAAGGATGGGTTGTGTGTATTCAAAAATCAAGATTAGTGAAGCGTTCACATATATGCCTGCTTAAAAAATGTTTTGATAACAAGGTACGCTAGGGAATATTTGGTAATTTCACAGAGATTTTTTGATTACATGTTTAAAAGAGAGTCATTTTTACGAATTCCTCTCATTTGTAAGTTAATGCTTTGTATGCATGCATGCTTATTTTAACTATTTGATAGTATTAAACGATATGAAATGGTCTTCAAATAATTCGGGATCCCATAAAGTCGTCACAATCTGCTTATTTGATGGCAAGTCTTCATTTGCAGTATGATTGGCTAAAAATGGACTTCGAAAATGATTCGTTCGTCGACGCCTTCGCTGTCGGTTGCTGAAAAATCAGCCTGCTCATAACAGAATGTCAAATAGTTTGGATGATGTTTGGTCGCGTTGTTGATTAATTGATGCTTTAGGTGCGTCGTAAGCGCCTTGAAAGACTTACGGGAACTGCGTCAAACTCACCAGTTCTTTCAAATTTGGGAAGTTTCGGGAGTACGTCCGTACGCGCTCCAATAACTGTAATGTTATTTCTTACTAATATTCCAGGACTCCTGCACTGCTACATCAAACCTTATTAGGCCAGAAAATACGTTTGTTGGCTTGAAGTCACAAAGTCCTCCCATTTGTGAAAGGTATATTATTGTATACCTTACTTATTAGTTTATCGAGAACAGCCCCTTAGGAAACTCTCAATCTAATTCACTGCCTGGCAATCTAGTTGCAGTCAATAATGACAACCTGGATTACCGCACTTTTCAAAACGCTGTACTTAGGATATTTTATGTTGACCTCGTGTCAGGCGAAGTAATTGCTTCGTCCCCCCGGCCCTTATCATTTCCTGAAGACACCCTTCATAATTTTTTTCGTACATGCTCAGTTTACCTAGAATTAGATGATCGTGCACCTCCCACGGCTTACTTTCGTGAGGCCATTTCATCAATAGTTATAAAAGCGATTCACTCAATCCTTGCCACCCTTTCTCGTCATCGCGGACGTGAAATATTGGCGCCAGAAACTATCCTGACTAAGTACTTTATTTCGTGCATTGCTCGCCTGTGCCATGAACGAAAGCATGTAAAGGTTAGTATTGTGCATACTTAGCCACACTGATAGCCCAAGACATTGCTTATTCTCCCATTTTTAGGGCATCTGTTTTGAAACGTTATTTGATATAATCGGCGACTTCTTGACCAGCTACCTCTCATTTGTTAGTCGAGGAGCCTTTTCTTTTTCATCCGGTCTTTACACACAATGTGAGTCGTCAGAGTTACAGAGCGAGTCATGTCAATCTCCACTATTGTTTCTCCTCATTGACTCTCTACATTCGAATTCTTCGGTCATTGATTCTACGTGTGCACTCATCGGTGATAAACCGGAGAAGTCAGATTGTTTACTCCCGCATTTAAACTATGCCGATATCTCCGCCGCTTTTGAGGAGCTTGGTTTACGTTTACTCAGGGAGGCAGACTTCGAATCGGGTCCTGTGCCTTTGGTATGCTTTCTGCAACTATTTTTTTAAAGTGTATGCTGTTGTCATGGTTATATTGTCTTTTCTAAGGTTATGAGTCAGCTACTTTACGATCTCCGCTCAAAAGTCCGTGACACCTCCATCGATGATAAGAATCTTATGGACTACTTATTGTGTCTGGAGTATTTGTCTAGCGTTGTTGTCCAAGGAAACAAGCGCCCAATCGCCAATTTGGTAGTCTTTTTTCTACCTTTTGTGTTGGTCTTCAGGAATTCAAACACGTTCATAATTGTTGTAGATTGTCCGACTTTCGAACTGGTCGTCGTCCACAAGTGATTTGGATAATGGTCGTGGAAAGGCTATCGAACGATTAACATTTTTGGGACCCTTCCTGGCACCCTCATTATTTGCCGATGATGATGTAAATTGTTTTTCTTTTTATGTTGTGGGCAGCAACAACTGATCATATATATAGGGCTTTGTACTTTTAACCACCAGATTATCTTGTCATTTTGAGCTGTTAATTATTTTTTCACGCTGGATTGCCCTGCATCTAAGACCGGTTTGTATCTACTGAATATCATTATTACTTCAGTTTGAGGCATGAAAAACTAACCCAAATTTGTCTACTTCTTAAACCACTAACTTTTTAATAGACTAGTGTTGCGATACACAGTTTTCCTAATGGTGAATCGTCGGACACCGAAGTACAGGCGAATCAGCAGGGTTTGCGTTTTCTTCTGGATATGATCTGGGCCAAGCAACTGACAATAGTGAAGAATTTATTGGTGCCCATGGTGCGTTTTAAATATGCATATCCAAAAGTTTGTCCCCTTCGCGTTATGCTCCTCTCAATTTATTCTTTTTAGGCTACACGTTCGCATACTTTGAGCTTTCTTTCGGATGCCTTACGTTTGAACGCGATCAGAGGGCAAATCCACTTTGAAGAGGGGTTGCTGGCTAGAGAAGGCTTTATGCTTAATCTCTCTGTAGTTTTCCTGCGTCTTTGTGCACCTGTGAATCAGGTTCAAGTAAGAAATATTGCTTGTTAGTTAAGCTCATGTACTCAAGTACTGTGTATTGTTGAAGGTTGTTTCACCTCTGGCTACGCTGTTCTTCGCTGTCAGTTTGTGCTATACGTCATGTTAATTACTGCTGACCCTGTTACCCAAAGTGTTTATAGAAACATTGACCCAGGGAATATGCCGAGGTAGCGAAACACATTTGTTCTTAACAAATTAGTGACCTTGGTGCGACGACATAATTTTGTATGTGGCTATTAATTGATACAGGTTCGCGCCGCAGTGCTCAAACCTAATGACAACTAACCTGAATTCGTTGTAGGTTTTACAGTTGTCTTTATAAAACTTATATTTACTTTGACATCAATATAGTGATATGCTTTATTTGAAAGCCACTACATTTCATGTAGAGATCCTGTTCCTTTGTGCAATGCGGAATTCTTTTTTATAATTACGTGCTTGATTAAAAGGAAACTAATCGTGATTTTCCACCATGAGATGAAGCTTTACTAATTTTTGGTACACTAAAGTCTTAAATCAGAGGAGATATGTGTGGCCGAAAATTTATGCTCCGGTTTCGCCATTTTCTGCCAGCAGATTCATTTCACGCTAAATTTTGTAAACTAATTGCTTTTTTAACTAAGTACAAAGGAGTTTCTGTATTTATTAACGAATATCATTACTAAAAGTTAACTTGATCATTTTGATCATTCCTCTCAACCTTCGTGTTTCCCATCGTCTTATTATTTTCAGGTTGGAACTCTTTATCTCTTTTCTCCACACTGCCGCCTTTTGGTAGAGGGAAAAACTCGCATTGATGGAAGTGAACAAAGTTTGACAGCTTTTACCAACGACTTATGTAAGTCATCTTGGCAACGTGTCCTTTTCCTATCTGAACTGTAGCTAAGACCTTGGTTGAAGTTAAGATCATTCGCGTGAGTGGGCAGTGTTGGCGATTGGTTTACCAAAGTAGTTGTTAATTCAATCCACAGCTGGCCGCTTCGAAAATGCACCGTCTTTCTCGACCGAGTGTTTCTACCTCACTGCTTGGGCACTTCATCTCGGTTTCGTCTCGAGCATCCGCAAATATCGACGTCGCCAAAGAGTCATCTCTGACCTCGATCGCAGTATTAGAAAGCTCGACCAAACTCTTAAACACGCCGTCGCCAACGGCTATCCAGAGGGTATGTCCTGTGCTACAAATAACCATTTCCCACTTCTGTTATTCGCATCACACCTAAAGGCGCCCAAATGGGCTCGTTGATTCAAACTAACCAATGACATTAGTCTTGAGTTTTGGGATTATCTATGTACGTTTAAGGTTTTAGTAACTCCGGTAACTTATTGTTCAGCTGTTTCCCGTTCGTGTTTTACGATACCAAACCTAAACCCGGTTTATACAGAGTGGATGAATTTACGTATTGTGTAAATTTATACAACTGGGCCACAAACGCCCTACACTATGTTGTGGGTTGACTTTGAGCCGTGTTTTCGGTTTTACGAGGGCTTGTTCTTGTTGTGGGCCCCAGCATGTGGTCTTATACCTCGGATGTGTGAATCATACATGAGCTAACATTGAGACTTAGGTGTGAGGATAATCCAAGATGAATGTTCGTGTGAATGAGGGGGGAGTTGAGGATCGGCGCGGCTGGCGACATGCTGCGAAAAGGGCAACCCTGTGTCGGAAGTGGAGCGATCGGATTAAGGGGTGTGTTGACATCCCCAACAGAAAATTAGTAATCTTTTTCCCCACAATCAGTTGCCTAGTAAACTATGCTATATAACCCAAACGCCAACCTCTAACTATTAAAAGTAAAAAAAAATAAAGTAACACAACAGAACAGTTTATTAGGATGTTCGAATAGCGGTTTGCATGCAATTTGCAACGTCTTGGTTGTTGTAGTAGTCATGTTCCGCTAGTTCTCTTCTATGTGTGATAAGTTAGTTTCTAAGACAGGTAATCGAAGCTGCGAAGACGCAAACCTCTAACGATCGGACACTTCCTCGTTCCTCTCTGTTACTCGCCCCTGTCTGGTAGGAATGGTGGGAATTAAGCCACTAATGACCCGAATAATTATTTTGATTCGGGGAAGGAAGCCTAGCCATTCTTCCCCATGGCCTTACTGGATGCGTCTTAGTGTCAGCATGCGGTGTGCATATCATTATTCCAACCTAAATCACGATCGTAAAAATTTCTCACTGATAATTGTTCGTCATTAACTATCTTAGTAACCGGAAAGTGAATACGAGGGAAGAACTATGGTAAATTTTCTGATATTAGAAAATGCGTTCAACAACCGGTGTCCATTTGTGAGTCCAGCCCGCTCTAAACAACGTTTCTTCATTTAGTTACAGTTTTCTTTGCGTTAGATTAAGTCTTATTCGTTTCCACGTTCATAGATCACATTCATCGCTTGGAACGCATGTTGAAGCAAGCCAAGCAGGAACTTTCCTGTCAGCAGCGTGCTAGGTTCTGCAGTGAGACCATCCTGATGCACGTTAATCTTCTGCAGTCGGTCTCCCGTTACTATGGCTCACTTTGTCAATTTCTAATGCGTCTTGCTGAATGTGATCCGTGAGTTTTAAACTTTTAATGGTCCTGTTGCCAGCTTACTACGATCAGTTTCTAACTCTGCGTATCTCAAAACTGTCTTAAGACTTTTACGCGTGCCTTGTGGTCGCAAGTATAATATTTTGCGATTGTTTATTGTTGCCTAGTGAAGTTCATTTGTTTAGTGTTGTTTTAGAGTAACCTGTGTCTCCGCTAGTCAAACAACACCGAAACTGTTTGCATTCCTCCCCGAGTTTTTCGTCGAAGACATCGCAGATTTTTTGCTATTTATAGTAGGGTGAGTTCTGATGTATCTTGTGTCTTTCTGCCTGTGTAACTTTGTTTACTACCTAATCGGTAACAAAATTAAACATTCCTAACAAATCTTTATTTCCTTAAAAATGACTACGTTTCCTGTCTTTTTAGCCACTTTTCCTCAGCAGTTGGTTCAGTGATTGATGCTCAAAGTTTCCCTGCACTCGCTAGTTTCCTGCTCTTTGTGATTTGCCACTCAAGCTTCATCCGGAATCCATACTTGGTGTCTAAATTTGTCGAGGTAAACACCTTAACATAATTGTTGAAATTAATCATTTTAAAAGCTAAATTTTGGCGTCTCACCAGAGCTGGCACTTTTGTCCTTGATATCATATCTGACCTACTTTACGTAATCCTGTCTAGCAACCAGAAGACCTAATACCTGCGATATCAGTTTTTAGTCAAGATTAAGTCCATTTGGAATGAAAATCATAACTACTGCTACTAAAACGCAAAATTAACTTATTGTTAGAAGGCCAGATTTTGCCCATTCATGATAACAAGTAATCGTTGTTGTTGGGCTTGTAAAGCTATTTGCATGATGTCTGGATGTACTAAGCTTTGCCAGTAACTGAAATCGCACATTGTGAACTAGTGCGCGAATCTCTTGTCTAACATGGGTCCCATCTCCCCAGTGCTAGAACAAAGACACTATCCCGTGCAGAGAGTGGCATTTCAAAATGAACAGTTTATTTATGATTTTGGTGACCTTGACCCAATGTATTTCGAAAGAATACCGTTTATGTGAATTAGAATGTGATTATTGAAGTGCTGTAGCTAGGGCACTTGTGTGAAACGAGAAAGGGTGTTAAGAAAACCGTTAAAAATGTTGATTTCACGAAGATCGACGTCTGGGGGAATGGTGACTTCCCTAACATCAATCGCAGCAAAACGTGATAACATTTCTTAACGCAGATAAAGCTGTACACACAAACCACGGTCTATAAATTGCATCACTGATTACCAACCTGCTTAGTTATTTTTAGTTCGTAGACATGGTCGGTTGGTTAATAAGTACTAAGCCATTGCATGCGTAGTCTGTGTAGCCATAATTACTGTACTACGCCCGCTGCACAAGTCAGGCAGATGTGTACTTTTATCTCGTCGCCTACTTTATTAATCGGCGCCCCAAAATACGTGATTACTTACTTACTTACTGGCTTACTTTTTGATTATCTTTGGCATCGCGAACTTTGTAAACGCTCGTGTGATTCTTTTCATGCTAGATTCTCTCCTTCTGGAATCCAATGCGTTCGGGTTCGCGTAATTCGTATAATGATTTGGTGAAAGTCCATCCCCTTGCCAATACTCACTTAGTTAATGCACTCATTCAGTTTTACGTCAACATCGAGTCCACGGGTGCTTCCAGTGAGTTTTATGACAAATTCTCCATTCGATTCAACATTTCTGTAATCTTCATATCTCTGTGGAAGGAAGGCTTTCTTAAACCGCGCTTTTTGCAGGAAGCCAAGTACGTAAAACAAGAATATTGATTGTGAAGTTTTGCATTATTACTTATCTTTGTTGCTTTTTTTAGTGGGAATCCAATGCTGTTTACGAAATTCACCAACCGAATGATTAACGACATGTCATTTTTGTTAGAAGAGGCACTTGATGGTCTTAAAAAAGTGAAAGAGTTGCAGGCATTAGAAACTGACAATAACCGCTCAAATCGCCTTACTCGACAGCAGCAGATGTCGTCTGCAAACGAATTGGCAACTTATGAGCGACAGGTTTGGAAGTCCTCTCTTCTATTTAGATATTTTTTGTCGGTCACATGCTGGTTTAAAAGCTTCAAACTACGTTTCACGTTAAATTATCTTGAAATAGTTAAAATGAAGATACAGGAAAACAGGCGGACTGTGATGTAAATGTAATATTTAATTCAGTAAACTGAAATATAATTTGATGTATCTGAGTTAGCTTTAGTTGCAGATATTTTTGTTATGCTTATCTGGAATAGTCAAAGCTTCACTGATGTTGACTCTTCATTTGCCCTGTTTGGGCTTGTTATGTTCATAGGTCCGTTCCTATCTTACCCTGGCTAATCAGACCGTGAATCTCCTATTTAACCTCACTACTGAAATAAAAGAACCATTTCTTCGGCCTGAAATTGTTCGCAAACTTGCTGCAATGCTTGATTTCAATTTGGTTCAACTCTGTGGCCCTCGTTGCAAAAAGTAAGCTCGGAATATCCACTTATTGACGTCTTTCATGGTAACTTACCATCAAATATTGATGTACTTTACTTGATGATCCTTACTTGGCGTATCGTCTAATTGCATATACGTTCATCAACAACTACTCTTGAAGTTCCGCGATTCAGGAAACCAAAAGAACTAACAATGCTTCGTAATTGACACCATGTGTTTAATCATCAGAACTTAAAATCATTTCGTAAACGATCCTTTTGATGTGGCAGCTTCTTACCCCACTTTTGTCTCACCTTAGCCTGAAGGTCCGCAATCCTGAGTCATACGGATGGGAGCCGAAGCGTCTGCTATCACGAATTATTGCCATTTACACACACCTAGACACCGACGACGACCGCTTCGCCACCTCCATTGCTGATGACGAGAGGAGCTACTCGCCCGAGCTTTTCACTGCAACCCAGGAGCTCGTGGCGCGCCACGGGATCCAGTCTCCCGAGAAGTTGGCCCAATTCTCTGCCCTTAGCGAAAAAGTAGGTTTTCACCTAAATACGGAAACTCACTTGTTCGCAAATCTCATTATTCATCTCAGCGCTCAATCATGGCACTGGGTCATTTTTAACTCTTCTTTCAAAATGCCCGATAATTTGGCAGAAATCCAGCTTGAAATCGGTGTTTTACAGATGGGGCATTCACTATCGCTACGGAAAACAAGTATTTGGGATATTAAGATGAATCAACAATACTAAAACAGCCGTTTTTGATTCCGCTTTGTCGTATTTGCCACAAAGATTTGGCTTTGTGTCGGCGTGTGTGTGTGAACGTTGCCAAAATGTTATTTTTATTCGTGTCTTTAAGCCGAGTAATAGCTTGTGTTCGTTTTGCCTCCTGAGGATACTCCATGTAAACCACTATCCGCTTCTCGACGTTCTTGTCCTATAGTCGATTTTAAAGGGATTGGCAAACCCTGATGAAGTCTATGTATTTCTCAGAAATGGAACAACATATCCTTGCACGAATTTTGGGTCATTTTTTTCCACACGGCAAGGTCTTATCTAATAGTCTACCGCCTGCATTTTATCCGCAGCCTCCCGTTTATTGTTGCGCGATGTAAGATCCTGTTGTCACTGTTCTTAAGTCGTGCTCAAGGTCCTTTAGCGAGTGTTGCGGTTGGTAATGCCTTCTTGTCATTTCCCTAGGTTAAGAGGTTGAGGGCAGAGAAGAGTCAGGCGGAGATAAATTATGGTGACGCACCTGCAGAATTCTGCGATACTCTTATGAATACCCTTATGTCCGATCCTGTGATGTTACCCGGTTCGCGATCAATTGTCGATCGCAGCACTATTATTATGCATTTACTTAATTCTGAGACGGATCCCTTCAATCGTCAACCATTATCTGAAGCTGATCTTATCCCTTGTAAGTTTGCGCATTCTAGCCTACCAGCACACTCCCCTAGTTCTAATTCCCGTTTTAATTACCATTAATTCATGCATTACAGTGCGAGGTAAATATTTTGAAAACAAAGCTGATTATCTGTGTTTTTTTGCGTATAATCATGAAGCAGTCAATTTCGACAGAATCTCGTAATTATTCCAAGTTGCCGTAATAAATCTAGTACAAGCCAGATGGTCTCTGTTGTTTGCCTACCCGGTCATCATTATGGTAGCCCAGCCCAGTGCCCTGATAAGCACTCCAATCTTACTTTCATCTACACATTTAGCGAAACTGACTAAGCCCGCCAATTCTCCCGTAACTACATCCAATCACTCTGCAGAATTACGGTATGAATTCACAGCAGTAGAGGAGAAGCCTGCTTGCCTGCTCTGCGTGTAAACCTCATTTCGCACTACCACTACTATTTGCAAGATTTTTCACTTTTGTCAATGCTACTCTTTTATTTCAGTGCCAGAATTAAAGCAACAAATCGCTATGTGGAAAAAGACCAAGGAAGACGAATTCCACACTTCCCGGCAAACAGACGAAGCGACTCCTCAATAATTATATCGCACATTGGCTTATACCCCCGCTGTGTGTCACTTCTTGTACCGCAGTAATGTCACTGCCCACTTATTTACTTTGTTTTATTACTCGCATACTTTTTATTTGCCTCGAGGATTAGGAATCTGGCAAGTGTCGTAACCAAGTAGGTGCCAAACATCTATGTATGATCCGATCACTTTTGGATCGTGTGAAGGCGGCAAGTCCAAGCAGACAACCGTTTATACATCTGCAAGGGATGGTGATTGTATCATTGATTAACTTTCACATTCGCCAATGTAAGCCGGCATATCTGCGTTTCGATGGTCAGCCTGACATGGCGTCAATGACTACAATTACGTTTTGTGTGCGATACAACTTTTTTATCGTGGATAGGTATCACCATATGATATGTATCACTTGTCGAATACATGCACATCCATGTACAAGGAGCACGGACTGGTCGAAGTAGCGAAATGTAATCGGTGAAGAAATTGAACAAAAACGAATTTTGACGAGCGATCCCGGTACCTAACCACTTTTCTGCAATCGTATAACTTGGGTTTCCGAGTTTATCCATCCTGTCTCTCTAGAATGCACTTTTAATTCCGGCTATTAATTCCTCATGCTGCAAGTTAGTTTAATTTTTGCGCAGCTGTTAAACATTTTTACGATTCAATTGATGACTTTGAATAGTTTGTTATATGCGATGACGTTTGTGCATTACAAGGGAAATTTGGTGCCACAGATTTTTACGCAGAAAATTGTGCAATAAAACCTAACACCACTAGTTGAGAGTAACAGAACTTAAGTTAATAAATCCAAACATAGATGGACTGTAGGTGACGCTGTCAAATACTTAATAAACAAAAGCTACTCTATTAAGACCTGAAAATGCAAATGCCACGAAGTACACACCAAAATCTGCTGGAATAAATTAGCGTTGCAAAAGAAGATTGCACAAACGCTCAAGGCTACAATAATTTTATGCAAAGCAAAATCCAAGTACACAAGAAACTGATGCATGTAACGAACTATACTTTGCATAGAAACGGCAAAATTTGAAAAGCGTCGAGAGATCACTCAGTGCATTTTAACATATCTGAAAATGTGAAATGTAGTTAGACAAGCCAAATCCTATTAGGTATCGTGTCGGATTTTGGCGGATTTGTCTATGTAATGGAGCAGATAACATGTTTAAATTATCGAATGGCCTATTGTATCGTAATTAGAAAAATTGAAGTAATTAATTTATTCACAATCATACCCAAAAACTAAGGGTGTTTTACAAAGTAATGAACTTGAGACCTTATGCAACAGCTTGAAGAATTTGTGAAGCTTGATAGACTATTTTTTTATTAATGTTGGTAAAATGCAAGAAGTATAAAACTTTTATAAATTTTTGTAAAATATTTAAGGTATAGTTGCACGCACAATGTCAAAATCCAAATGTTTCCTTAAATCATAATGTTGATACTGTAGTCAAGGTCATATTTTGGCTTTTTTGTCCGTAATGACGCCCCAAAAGCTAAATGTTTGCTTTTAACCCAATTTTGCATATCAAGGGTTATCCGAAGAGTCCATGAGTAATGTATTTTATGGACGTCTTATTCTGCTTGGGTAAGTAGATTTAATATTCTGCACTGTATTAATAGTTCTTTATGTTTTCTTTTTAATGATTTTTTGTCACTAACGTAGGATTGTTAAGGGACTTCTTTCTATTGTCATACTATGTATTTGTGCTTTTAGTGCAAATTTAAAAGTTTCAGGTGATTACAGTTAAATTGATTCTAAGCTCTTAGGTCTGATTGGGTCGGTGTTATATTTTTGCTGTCTATTCGTGGAATAGTTGTTGTATGCGTAAGGATCGATTCTTCGTCAAGCATCTTTCATGACACATTCAACCATACTGGACCTACCACATGGTTTTTCAAACAGTTTAATCTGTATTTCTTGCTAACCGGAGAAGCCTTTTGTAATTTAATAAATATTAGTGGTGTCCACTAATTACTTTCAGAATTTTTCACCTGGGAGCTATTGATCTTGTAACCTGTTTTGGTTTTTTGAATTTTGTAATGACTTTTTGGTTCTTTACCTACTTCACCAGACATGGGTCAATAGAAATACTTAGAATTATCACATTATGTCCAATTGTGTTTCCCAGATGGTCTTATATTCGGTTGTTTAATAAATTCACCAGACAAAATTATAAAGAAACGGGAATATGTCAGTCTACTTAGGATCTTTCCAAGTGAACTCTCTCCTGTCCTTTCTCGTGTATTTTAAAATCATTGTGGTAGAAGTTTTCAAACGTTCACTCTTACAAATTTACTTTATGCACGTGCCAACTTACTACCAAATCTCGCTTACAATTTGCCCCTCCTTTTTTATGTCTTCATTTTAGAACCAATGGTACAGCCACTGTAAAGGAACTATGCAGGACCGGCAACGGTAGCCTTGAACTATTCCAAAGACATTTCCCCAATGGAGTAATTCCTGGCCCAATTTCTTTCGTTCCTGATTCAGCTCAATCCAAGGTAAGAATTTTCTTAAATTCATTTATAGGGATCGAGTCTTTAATCACGGTTTTTTATCAAGGCTGGTTCACTATCTGTTGGTGCTAGTCTCACTTGTGTGACTTCGCCAGCACATGACAGTGACGATTAACAGGTTATGCTTTTTCGAACCACGGAACATATAAATTTAAAAAAAATGTAAACAGTGCAAGCTTGGTCGTTTTATATTATCAGCTATTCATCCAAAATACGTTTGATTGTTGTATTGAACTTTCAAGATGACTGATAGAGAACATTTGCACGTGCCGAGGGCATATTTTACATCGTTGCGAGGTTGTTTTTCTACTTTAGTGGGTCTTTAAACAACCAATATTCCTGAGAGTGTGGAAGGAAGTTAAGTATAAGAGATTATACGGGATTACGAAGGAGACATAATTGGGTATTACCTGATAATGAGGTACTGTAAATTGACAACAAGTGCTGTTTGGCGAGAAAGCATCGCCTGTGAAATGTGAACCCGTGATAGCGCCTTAGTTCTTTTAACTCACACAGCCGTAATAGGGGTAATAAATGTGCAAAAAATTAAAATTTATATGGAAGTAACAATATTTTGCCTGGAGGAAGTGGACTTTAGTTTCAGCTTATACATATTCTTTTTGTTAATATATCTTGATCCATTAGAAATTAGATTTCCAATTCATTTGTCAACTTTTGTGTGCAAACATTTTCTCCACTTGACTGCATGTTCGATAACTAACCTTGGAAAATCTTTTGCATATCAATTCGTGGTTTTTAAGGGCCTATTTTATTACTTAAAGATATTTTATCTGGATAGCAAAATAAGTCATCACATTTTGATGCTGACCATGTGGCCATTGGTAATATTTGTTGGAGGCAATCTCTCAGTATTTAAGAGACTTACTGCAGTGTAAATATTCACTGAAAAGCCGATAATTTGGTCGATTTATTGAATTCAGATTTGAGACGCCTTGAATGTGGCTAGCTTTTCGGCCAATTTGGGATCCAACTAGTCTTCCCCAAGCGGGCTTCGGGCCCACTATCGAGTGCAGTGTAAGCAACACTACTACTAATCTACGAGGCTCCACGTTCCCTAGAATAAGTACATATTTTGTGGTCGTAAACTGACGAACTAGCTGCATTCCACGCAACGTCTTTTACACTTCCAAAAAACCTTGTTTGCGAACATTCTTGGAATCAATTTTGTTGCCTGTTGCATAGTCGGTCGCAATTTTCTTTCCCGGAGAACCATGAAGTCACTGAACTAAAAGTTGCCATGATTCATAGGGTCGTATTGCAATATGCTTATCTCGTGCAGCTAGTCAGCGCATGATGTTAAAATGTACAAAACACATACCCGTCTTTTTAAAGCTACATGAAATGGTTCTGAATTTACAAAACTAGTCGAAATATTGATCCCACCTAACATTATCGGATACAGATTGGCGACTTTTTGCTCAAAGTCACGTTGGTTCTACTTTGCGCAAAACAAAATGACAGGTTATTACATTTCTGGGTGTTTCTTGTGTAGGCTCGTTCTTTGCCTGCCCCTTTGTGTTCACTTAGTATTATTCCTTTTCCAGGTCGTTGCCGACCCGAACCGCCATTGCGTGTCCTACACTTTCAATCGGACCCATACAGTTGTGGTGGAATATATCCCTGACTCCAACATCGACTTGTTTCAGGTAGTGCATTTTTTACCTTATTTTTGAAAAAAAATTGACCTTTTCATTTTTTTCATGTCCACTTAAGTGCTGTCGCCAATGTCCAATGCAGTAATTTACAGTTTGGGAAATAGGGCCGAAACATCCGCTTCATGTCCGATCGCTTGAGTTGTCAGTGTGTGTGTGTCCACTCCAAGCCTCGAGAATTTGCAGAGGGTCTACCAGGACGCTGTTGCTCTGCTTGTTTATTGTGCCCCTTAATTAGTGACTTTGTGCGTTAAGTAGTTGGCCAGTGCAAAGAAGTTGATGCCATGTTTTATTTAAAGTTCTAAAATTTCAACCCGCCGTATCATCTAGCAAATTTCCAAATTTAACGCTCACATTCGCTATAACACCCGGCTACCTAGAGTGCAGACAGGACAAAATTGTCCTTAGCATTTTTTTTCATATTATTTCCTTGATTCAACATAAAACAATTATTAAATGGTCTGTGAATAAATATCCGGGTAAATATTGTTTAACCAATTAGCCTATCAAATTGAAAGAAATTTGCGCTATACGTTGGGAGATAATTGAATTGATTACTGTCAGTTTATTTCTATGTACCTAACTTGAAGTTCAAAGTTGTCAACTCAAATAACCGTATTCCATAGTAAACGCCAATAAGGTGCCTACGTGGGTTGATATTATTGGTTCAAGCGTTTTTTACGTTAATGAGTGCTACGGTAGGTTTTCAAAGTCAATTCAATGGCCTCTGCCGCTTTATTCGCTTAGCATTTGTGTCTCTGCTGTTGTAGGTTGGTCGATACAAATCACCCGTAATTGACTTTCACATTGGTGACTTGCCTGCTTCATCAGGACCCGCGTCGGCCAACAAAGACAACTCCCCTCACAAGAATCGAGTTCTGTTTGGCATGTTTGAAAAGCCCATCTTTAATTTTGGCCCAGTTCCCAAAAAACCCGCAGCCCCACTCTCTACCATCTCTCGTTTCGCCTGTCGAATCGATATTAACCGGAAGCCACCCCATACTGCGCGCATTTATGCTGCCGGTTTCGATGGCCGGAAGAATATTTTTCTAGGTGTACGTCGACATAGACTCTATCAACCTCACGCCTTTAAACTGTAACCGTAAAAATAGTGAAATAGCTCTAAACGTCCCAAAAAGCTTCGTTAATATGTTATAGTGATAATTATCCGGTCATAAACCGGAAGGCATTTCTTTTAAAGTGGACTGGAACGTTGTTTTGCGACGTGTAGTGCTGAACTGCCTTTTCCACCTGGACATCCTTTAAGTGCATTTTTTACGTATTTGGTAAATAGAATGAAGTAAGATGATTATGTATCCTTACAGGAGAATGCTACCAAATGGCGACACAGCGATATTATGGACGGGTTTACGACAAACGGGGTTAGAATTTTCAGACCAAGTCAATGGCTTAAAAGGGCTGAAACGGGTGAGTTTCATTTGTTGTGTCTTGTCATTCCCAGTTAACATTTGGAGTCCGTCGTTGTGACTCGAGTACATGAGCTGCACGCTGCCAGCACACTTATGCTGATAGTTATTTGTTATTGCTTAGCCTCCAGAAGTGTTCTCGACTGACTAATTTGCATCGATTCTACCATGGGTTGGAATTCTCGCCAAACGTTCTTGCTACATTCCCAAATCAGTATTGCTTCGAATTGGTTTTGCCGGCGTTTACGATGTGAAGTGTTGAATACTAATGTATCACATTAACATAAAAATGTTATTCTATCGATGACCCACCCCGCCACAAAATTTTATCCTATTTAATATTTTATTTAGCCAGTCCAGCTTCGTGCTTGGCTTTGACTCTTTTTCGCTACTTCAAGTTGGCCTATGGCGTAGCGCAGTTTAAGTAAATGTGTGCCTCGCCACCACAGGGTGCTGTTTTGAGTTAGAATTTGTGTGCTTCCCACAACTACGTTAGGAGTCCAGAAGCCAGTGGGTTCCCGTTTGTTTTGTAGGAAGTAGGTGTAACTATCTTAATCAAGCCACTTTTATGGTCATTTTGGCAGAACATGTAGCATCGTCCATTAGTTTTTTTTTTAAAAAATAAATGTCAACAAAGGTTCTACTAAAGGTGTGGGGAATTAACTGAATTGAAAATTCACTCTTCTGACTTGCTAATCTATACTGAAATTAGGTTGGACGCTTTCTGTGAGTTTCAAAGTTTCATTTCACCTGTTTGGTTAAATTTTAACATTTATAATTTACCATTGCTTCTATCGTATTTTTTTTAATTTTAGACAACGACCAGTCGTAAGTTTGAACCTCGCTCCTATTTTGTAGTATGCTTGTGTCTTTTTGTCTTACACTTGTCTCATTCTCAAAACCACTGCTCTATTGTAAAACCGCTGTGCCTTCTTGCCGTTTTTGAGGAAAAAATCATGATTGTGTGGGTTATTTCACAGTAAATGCGAATTGCAACGCCACTTCGTCCTCGGTTGACATTGAATTTTACGCCGCATTATTACATTTCTGTCAAAATAATTTTTTTAAAATGGAAATTCTCTAGCTTCCTTCATGTTTTCCTCGATTTTTTTCAATAAAAGAATCAAGTGCTCCTTAGACGAAGCATCTTACGCGAGATAAATGAAGGAATATCATTTTACGAAAATTCTGCTTTAATTGAATCATTCTTTTGTAGTGTGTGTGTGTGTGTTTGTGTGTGTGTGTGCATACGTAATGCGGGTGGATGCTCAAAATGCAGCACCGTTACGGTGGTTAGCACAGTTCACGACACATTTTTTATGTTGTATTGTTACGTGGATTTCGTAGTTATGTGGTTTCCACTTATCAAAAGGTATATAAGTTAGTAATTTCGATTTCTGGATTGCAGGAGCTGCCAAATGGCTCCAGGCCTAATCGCACTTTAATCTCTGATGATCACAACAGATGCAAAGCATGTGCGCGTTAGCTCCCGTGAAATTTCGGTTGTAAAACCGAAGGTTGTAACGGCATGCACATTCCTCAATTTTACTGTACTAAAGAGCATTGAAGCCTTAGCACAGTCGTGTTTGAGTGAGAATTGAAAATGCAGTGGGTCTGTTAGCTTTGGAATTTTGACCGTGGTCGTGTTCACTTTTTGCCAAAGAAGCTTAGAACACAGTGAGAGATAGCAACTCCAATGTCGCAGTTCTGGGCCTTGTTACCGATTTGGACTGTGGTACCACCGTTGTGCCCCCAATTTGAAGCTTTAGCGGTTTTTATTTGTAGCACACTCTGGCGGGAGGTTAGTGTATGTGGGAACGTTTACAAACTTCACTCAACCATGTTTGTGCCTGGCGAAACTGACCGAGTAAGTTCCTTTCCTTTTGCAATATCAACTGCATTTGCCCCGATTTTGTCCCCTCTATTACCAATTCATTTACGGTCCGTTGAGCATTTTAATAATTAATGGTGCAAATGTAGGCATTTGTCTCGCAAGATAGTGGCCTTAAAATATCCCGGTGTTGGGGGCTGCGATGCGTGACTCGTACCCACACCGGGGCAATACCATCGTTGCTTATGTGTGCCGATCTGACACCAAGTGCTCCAAGACAGAAGGCGACGGATGCTCAATCATTAATTGAGTCGCATATTCTGGGTGTATTAAGCCGTGGCTGTCGTTAGCGTGAACTTCTGAGGCGTGTTCTGCAGATGTGTTTACTAGGTTGTCGATAGGATTCCGGGCAGTTTATTTACGCTGGTGCATGGTGAGACGGTTCACAATGGGAATCAGGAGGTGACAATTAGGAACGGTAATAAATAAATAAATGTTGTGGCCTGTCGTGTGTGAACCTTGGTGTCGGTCGCGAATTGGCGGGATTCACTGTATGCTTTGAAAATTGCGTCACGTCTGACGAATCGTGCACCATGTCACGAAGGCCTGTTTGTGTAACACCAATTAAGACCTCTCTTTTGGGATGAACAGTAAAAGCAGTGCATTAAGAAACTAAATTTTGGCAAAATTTTAAATGAACTTTTTACTGCGACAACACAGACTATTGCTGGGTTGCAAAATTGCTGATTGGCCTTTTCTCCTCTGGCAACAAAAGCTTGCGTGAGAAGTTCATTGTTTGTACGACTACTCAGCTGAGCTCTTTCGAAGGGTTTATTGGAAGTCGTGCACATGCTTCCTTAATTCGTTACCAGCTTTCGACGGACCGGCATAAAAAGCGCACTGGTTTACTACAAACCTACATAGAGCAATATACTGAGCATTGTGGTTACTATCGAGTTTTTTTACACAAAGCTTTTGGTATAGAAATGCCTCTCGTTAGATTTCCGTGTAATATTACAGATTTATTTCATCCGACCTCTTAGTCCCAGCTGCACCTACTGTTACAATACCGAAATTTTTTTTTTCTATGTTAAGTAGAGCAGATACGTGAATTTTCTTGCTTCGTTTTTTGAGCCTTTGCTTGTATGCTTTTTTTCGTTGGTGTTGTCTTCGCAGGTCGAAGATGAAAACAACATCCTCGAGGACGGGACGTTGATTGACCTGTGCGGAGCCATCCTCATTTGGCGGTCAGCTGATGGTCTTAAAAAGGGCCTCCAACATACAGATGTCTGCGAAATGGTGCGTTTTTTGTTTACGTTGGAATGCGTCCTAAACCGGCTTACCCACTACACAACGTCGCATTAATTACCCATAGCTGGTTCGGATTTTGCTTCACTCTAATAATATTCGTGCATTTACATTAAACTTTTTATTTTACGAATTTCTCGAAATGCTTTGCGTTATCGACCAAGGAAGTATTTCGTACGACTTTTAAGTGTACCTATGCTCCTCACTTTGTTATTGCGTTTGATGGTGCGACTGACATTGTTGATTGTGGAATATCCAATGTGACAAGAATAAGCTAACGTTAAAAGCCGTTCAAACAAACCCTTGTCAATATCGTGACAACGTTTTACGATTGTCGGTGATAGCGTCTTCACCGCTGTCATCCCCCCCCCCCCGGAAGTGAGCGCAATGTGCCTTAGACACTAATCCTGGACCACTGTATTAACACAAGCTATGTAACTGCAAAGGAGTCCCACACGACGCGAAGACTAGACGATGTTTGTATAATTCCAGTCCACACTTTCAGTCATTTCCATAGGTCTTGCCTTGCACTCACGCTAACCTTGTGACTGCTGAGTTTCCTGATATTCCTTTGAATACCTAATATTACAGGTTGCCATAAAAAATCTCTGCAATGCTTTATTCGGTTGACGTCTTTTGTTCTTTACCCCTTGGGTTTCGCGATGTTATGTCCTATATGGGAGTGATTTGTAACCTACTCTGTGGGTATGTATAACTTACTACGACAACCGTGACAATGATGATGGACTAATCGCGGTGAGCATCCGAAGCCATCTGGTCTTGGTTGCAAGGTTTTGGTAGCAGTACGTTATACCCACTTTTTCTTCATGTCGATGTTGATTAAAAAACCTTCACTCGTCTTTAATAATGCTGAAGTTGCCACGTAATTTGGGCTCACTCTCCTTTGCTGTATTCTGTTCAGGGAAATAACCCAAGGACTCAAAATTTTAACTGACGTTCTGTTTCTTAGTTAATCTTTTACCAAGTATGTGCCTTAGTGATTTGCCGTTTTTATTTTCGTATTTTCGGTTTGTGGGCTTTTTCAAGAGATGGCTTGCTACTAACCGTTAGTTTTGCCAATTCCCTAAGCATTTCTCTAATATGCTTCCTTATGAAACTCCTACCACCAGAATGTTTGCGTACAATGCTAAAACGTTTTCGGTTTCAGGTAGATATTCTCAATCAACTCCATATTCAGTGCCCGGTGTACTTAAAAACTCTCCAGTTCAGTGGATCGCGCGTCCCTGAGTTTTCTCCCAAGTACTCCATGGTTTCTGATAATGTTCTCGCTAATCCGCCCTTAAGCGCCACATTTGGCAGGGGAAGCCAACCTCATGTCTACCTGAATTGCGGTCATGTGCATGGATATCATGACTGGCAACCAAACATGGGCCAGTAAGTGTAACCATTTGTACATTTCCATTGTCTTGGTTGTCTGTGGTGGCGTAATGGGATATGCAGGAGGGTGCTTGACAGGCTTCCCTTTCAAATCCTTGATGTGTAGGTCCTTGTTTAGTGTTGTGCACATTGCCGTCAACACAAACATCAAGTCCTAATTTCTCCGTAATATTTTTTTATCATATAACTATTTTAGATCTCCTATAATCTTCATTTAAACTAGTTCAGATAAGTTAACTTTCAAGCCTACGCCAATAAACCATTAAACGCTCCGCAGATGGGATTTGCAATTTTTGATCAAAAAGTGCGTCTTTTTGGTGGTGCGAAAATGGTTTCGATTTTCACTAGTCCCGTTTTCATAGTTTCCTGACGATCTTACCTTGATTCAGGAATAAACACAAACACGACATTTTGCTGCAATATCAAGTTGTTTATTTGTGTAAAAAAGTGTTTGTGATATGCTTGGGGCTTGCTACTGCTGCAACTGGTAGCTCCATTTGACAATGCCGTTTGTGCTAAGTGCGGAAGTATCTTTATTTGTTCATTATTACTACTGAAATGTACGTTTATTTTATAACTCCTGGAATAAATATGCTTGTTACTTTACTTAGTGTACCAATTATTTAACCGGATTCAAATTTACATTCTCACATGTCCCATGAATTCATCCAGTGTGGGTCAGCTGCTATTTTCACCGTTTCCCATGATACAAATTTCCAAGAACCGCACATTTTACCGGAGCCTAGTGCAAATAACTCATTTTTCGTTTCGTTAGGTCATCGAATCGGCGGGATAAACGAACTTGCCCACTCTGTCGTCAGACCTCGCGTTTCGTTCGCCTGTCGATAGGTGAGGAGGTTGGATTCTTTGTGGATCGGGGCCCGCCGACTCACTGTTTTAATCCTTGTGGCCACATTGCTTCAGCTGGAACCGTGAAGTAAGTTAACCGACCTTTTGATCATACGCGAATCGGCTAGTCAAGCATGGAAGTGGTCCATACGTATTTTACTATGCTCGACGACGCAAGTGCCTCGCCTCTATAAGTGAGAATTCGTTTGTTTTTACCTAGGGACTGTTTTCAGGGGTCAATAGGTTTGCTGGAATTTTTTAATGCTACGTTGATTCCACTGACTATTATAAGTGTTTTGGCTGAGTGAAATAATCTACGGAAGTAATCTACTAAAAGGAAAATTGCTCCCCTGATGATGGTGATGATGACAATTTTTCCCGTACAAAGCTAGTCGTCTGGCGCTCTAGTTGAACTTGTGAACCTATGACCAGAATTTGGTTTGGGGAGACATCAAACGTTTCTCTAATAATGTTCCGTTCTGCCCACATCTATCGGGAACGGTTATACTCACACACCGACGTAGTCACACCTTGGCCCGAAACATAATGATAATTTATTTTCTACGATCAACTATGCTCCAAAGTAATTTTAGCCATTCTTCCAAATTGTGGTGCCTATGTCTATTTCGCGTTCTTATTGCTATTGTTGACTGTATGAACTGCTATCAGTGCTGCCGCGTTGACAAGGTTTTGTTTTGCAGATTCTGGTCGGAACTTAAGCTTCCGATGACGAGCCAGACGGCGATGCTGCCACAGTGTCCGTTCTGCTCTCACGAGGTTGAGGGACCGCCTGTAAGGCTAATCTTCCAGCATCGGGCCGATGAGAGCACCCTTGTGGAAGCCTTTGCATCATTTAATTGTACCCCCACGGACCCGTCATCCTCTCAGTACGCCCCTTTCACTTTCCCATCAGTCCCCTCTTCTGTGCTCATCGAAGGAAAAGAGTCGAAAACTGACTGAATAGGATTCTTATTCTATGTAATATGTCACACCAAGTAGTCTTTCACACAAATGTCCTACCAGCGATGTAACAACACACCAGTCATTTAATTGCAACTAAATTGTGTTTCCATGCTCTACTGCTCATAAGCTAACGAGCGTGTGCTTAGTGCATTTTTTTAAGTTGTTCTGAATTGCTATCCCGAGTTTTCCATCGAAAATGCAACTCTGTATGAAATTCATGGAGGGCGCGTCTCAAAAGCGGGTAATTCCTATCATCTAATTATTTTGTACAAAGCAAAAATTAAGAGACTTGCCAGTAATTATCTCACACTAAAAAGAGGAAAGACTACTAAATCTCGCGTCCGCACCAATATAATAATTTAATTTAAGCTAGTAAGAAAAAGCAGACCAATGCGAAGTACAAAAGCCACGAGATCAAATATCACCTACATAAAATAAAAAGTCATAATGGATATTTAACAAGAGGAGGGAGATTTACGTGTGGAGTAACATCGCTTTAACATTAAATAAACCCCTGTATCAGCATTAAAGTGGGTCAAGTGGGGCCAGTTTTCTTTTGCTTAAATTAACCTTCGATTTTAGTGCTATAGTTATCCTGTCTGTGTGGTGTTTCGATTGTTGCCTGGATCCACCTTACGACGCTAACAGTCCCCTTGGTGTGTAATATTTGTGCACTTTGTGTGCAGTGACGCTGTGCATAGGAAAACAGTTCTATTTAGGACCACGAAGACAGAGCATTGGCAAACCTCAAATATCCCTACTTGTGTACTCTGTAGGGCTTAAAGTGCGCCTTTGATGTTGACCCGCCACTGCAGTTTGAAGTGCTCATGCTTGACAGGGTCCCTAACTGAAAGCATGTGTTGGCATCTCTCAGGCCCACAATTCCTTGTGACGGCTTGCAGCACCTGACTGGTTGCGTCACCTCAAGCTTGAGGTTGAGAACGAATGTGTGGAAGTGCATTTATTTAGTGTAACCATCGAGAGTGTCTTTGCTGCTTCAGCGTGAATGCCGTGTCTGTGCACGTCCATGTGCTAATCGGTTGTAACATAAAATACCCAACGGAATCCACAACGTGAATTTGAAATACACCACTTTGGGGTCACAGCTGTTCGCAAATCAGACTCAAACGCGCGATTGAGAGTCATCGGGCCGTGTTCGCAGTTGTGCTGAACTTTGTTAAGGTTTTCGATTGAAGGCCCCGAAATGAGATGCCCAACTTTCTGGCCAGTTTCACGAGTACCTTCAAGGTGGTTATGGAAATTCGTGGGTTCGGAGGATTTGTGGGTGATCGTTCTCCAGTTACCTTGAAAGTGAGCATGCATACTTTACATTGATTCCAGTGTTAGCTAGGTTGGGGGATTTCCACAGTTAGTTGGTGCTCACAATTTCACGACGATGCATCTGCCAAAGAGACAATCTGCCTTGTAGTAAAACTGTGGTGTATTTTTTTAAATTTGCATCATCTTCCATCTTCAAGTTCTCATTCGTGAGCCCTTGGCCGCTTCTCCCACACCCGATGATCTACAGAACACAACCCTAATCATTTCGGATTTCGGCATGTCCTGTCCCACCGACGCAGTCGGTTCGCGTGTCTCCGGTGTTGGTACGGCCGCGTATGCAGCCCCCGAGGTCATTTGCATGGTATGTAGCAATTGTTATTTCATGTGACACACGACCCAAACAAATTGGCTCTGGCAAAGTGCTGGTATTGCCTCCGGCTGGGAGTGTGTTTAGTGTAGGCATTGTGATCCTCTAGGATCTCATTGCGAAATCGCCGTAGTTTGCAACGTTAGTACGAAGTCTGCCGAGGTCGATTTGGTGTGTGCTTCTTCTGGCTCTACTGTCGTGGCGGTTCGGTTGCTGCCACAGGGTTATGTTAAGTAAACTAGATAGCTAGGATTGTATGCGAGTCTGCGTAGACCACGGATTGTTCGTTTAGTAACATATTTGCTCTAGAACCACTGCAGTTGTATTCCATGATTTTGTTGTGACTATGTGACGAGTACAAAGTGCCAGAAAAGGTCAAATTTGATTGAAGGAAGGAGATGATCCCAACCAATGAGCTAGTCGCCGACCTACCGATCTCGTAGGTCGCATTGTTGCGAAGGCCCTGAAAGCCTTGTCGCACAGTCATTTGTCGCTGACCGGTTCTTAGGCATTCACTCATTTAGTCAACAGGATAGTGAAAAAAGTTCCTCCTCGGCTTGAAATGGGGTCTTTGTTGTCTCCTTGCTAGAATGTTTGTATGTCGTGTCGGCTTCATTCAACAATGTTTCGAAGCTGTTACCTTAAACTTTGTTTTTTTTTGAAATTCTTTTTTATCATTTGTTTGATTCACAGAACAACTCTGCTCCACTTTTTAACTGCCTTACTTTAAATAGTAGCTTAATCTTGACAATGTCATTGTAGAATGGAATTTGTTTTCTTGTGCACATTGCTTAGCATGGCATATTTTTTTACTTTCAAGGAATTCTACAGTCCCGCTTCTGATGTGTGGTCTTATGGTGTGGTTATCTGGGAAATCTTTACAATGCTGGAGCCCTTCAAAGAATTTGACAGAGCTCAACAACTTGTTAACATTGGTCGAAATCGGCAAAAGCTATTCATTCCTCGAGTTGAGTGTGATTTTCCAGAATTTATGGATGCCCTTTTGACTCGTGAGTTAATATGATTTCCTTTGTGTTGTAGTTTTGAAATGAGCGTTTTCCGGGTTTGTGCTTTTTCCCTGTTTGGTATAAAAGCCAGCTGGTTAATTTAATACTGCTGGTTGATATTGTGGTCTAAGTGATTGAAATTTTATGGTGAAATGTTGCTTTTGATGCGTAGATCTTTCTTCAAATTGTAACGTGTGACCCACTGGTTTGGCACGTTACTATCGGAGCATTTAAGGGTACCTATGGTCCACGGCTCACTGGTCATGCCTTTTATATTGTTAAAAGTAGACAAATGCGTTATTAGCGCCTTTACAACCTCCTTATTAGTTCAGTAAACTTTTGTTCAATTATATCAGTTCTTTCGGCCTGAGCTAGCTTGCGTACTATCCACCTTACAGTGAGACACGTCCAAGCCAGTTAGAAAACAACTTCCTTGTTCGTACTCAGAATGCTGTCTAACGGATTCAATGATAATGATCCGGGTCTGTTATTTCACCGTGTTGCCTTTCGCAATATATAACGTTCCGATGGGTTTCGCTACTTACTTCTTTATCTCCACGAACACTTTTTTCGTGGTAGATCTGAGTTTCATTACCGGGTGCCTTTTTGATGACCCTTTGAGGCGTAGCATTGGTCGCGGTACACCCTCGGGCAGCTCCGACAATGTTGAAATGCTTCCTAAAAATTTTACGAAACAGTGTGCAGGCACATTGCGGTTCGCTCATAAATTTCATGCATTTGATAGGCCAAGAGGTTGGTTTGTACTTTCTATTGCTTAATGACATGCCAGGTACTTTTCTTACCTTCCGTCTCAGATTCTTGCCATCACAGTCCACATGCGACCCGTAAGAATTGATGTCTAAATTACACTAGCTTTAGCACCCTGAATTTGTTGACTGTGTCGCACCTAATCTACAGTCCAGGCATTGCACCATTAGCCTCTTGCCCTTTTTGAAAAGTCTTGTGGTGCAAGATCTATTAATGTTGTTAGTGAGTTCCCTAATCTAAACAAGTGTCGAACTAGCGCCTCTAGCATTTACCAAAACGGCTACGAAATTGGTACCTTTTTCTCGAAATGTTTTATCTGCTTTACTCCACGGCTTCTGGACAGGTTTTTTAGTAAGTCATTGTTTGCTGTACTTCTGTTGCGTAGCTTTTTTTATTGAGGACGGTGTGACTTACGAGCGGCATTCCCAAATTGTGGGCACGTTGTGCTTTAATGGGTTGTGCTGCCTGTGATTTGCTCACGCGAAGATCTGCGCAAGCCTAGCTGCTTTTTGGCTCAACACCTCAAGGTCGAGCAGTTATCCAAGATTTCATTAAAGTGAACTTCCTGCATGCGTATACATCGACACTTATCCTCTAAGGACATTGATGACAATGCCTTTTCTTCTTATCCGCTAACACGGACTCTAGACCTCCCATCACTGTTTTCAAATATACTTATAAGTTCGGCTCTCGCTCATGCCGATTCGGCTATTTTAAACGACCAGTTAGTTGCGCTGCCATTTCTACAAGTTGTTCCTTTCCACTCTCGTGTATCTTCGCAAACATGAATTTTGACAATTGTTTAGAATCTTCAAAAATCCCACAAAGTGGTCAAGTCACGTTTGATTGTTGAAAGTAACATAGTTTAATGCTTTACTAACATAGGTTGCTGGGCTGACGAACGGGCTGATAGGCCATCGTTCAGTTACATTCTTGAGTATCTTTCGGAGGTCCAGAAAGACGCCTTCTTCACATTGTCATCCAAAGAATTCACCGTGATACAAGATGCTTGGCGCCTCGAAATTTCCAATGAGTCTGAATTGGTGAGTCAGTAACCTCTCGCATTAATTCCTACCGTAGAAACGGCCCTGGCTTTCATCCACACCTTAGTGCACGCTTAAAGAAGTAGCCTGATGCACCAACTAAACTGTGGCCTAACTAACAAATGGCATATCCTTTGTGCATTTGTACTCATCGAGTTCACCCTTAACGGAGTCAAATGCTGCCACTGACTTCGTGCATTAGTTTCTGTGTAACTCGTAGACCGTGTACTGCTCTTCTATCTATTACAGAATGGGCGTATTTGAGTACCCAATTTGCAGTATGTCTACTGAAATCACGTAGTTATCGTCGCCTAGCCTTTGTACACCAGTATTAAGTGTAACTTGACAATGTTTGTGGGAGTATGTCAGACAGTTGTAGGGTTGTAGTTGCTTTCATTTTTGAAAAGCCAGGTTCTAGTCAAAAGCTGTCATCATTGATTTGTTTTAATATATGAAGGTTTTGATTCCTAAACTGGTGCTTTCGCAAATCGCTGGTTAGCGTTGTGTGCTTCGCAAGCCTGGCGACTTGCAATGCTTTAGGCGTACCCTTGATGATGCCTCCTGCCTCGTTGTTTTCATCTCCAGCTTCTGACCTTGAGTTTTAATTGACGTTACCACTGTAGCCTTTAGTATTGAGCATAATCATTCAACTTCTACATATTCCCAGAATTTAACTAATAGACATGTTCTTCATGCTGAGATCGTCTAGCTAGAATACTGAATAAAATGGTGTGCTTGAATGGAATCACATGTATGCGCATAATTTATGCATTTATGGCAATATACAATTCTCATACAAATCATTTCATGATTAGTGAATAAAAGTAGCGTAGTAGCTTGTGCTTGACCTAACTTCTCTTACCGCAAATCATTTGTAAAAATTACTCCTTCTTTTGCTGTCATGTCGGTCAACCATGCCACTTGCTAGAACAGCAAAGTTTATTTTGTCTTTATTCTTAAATGTATTTTACAACTTTTGAGCTCTATGGTGATGTTTGCCGTTCACAGAACAGGCATCTTCCGTTCTTTACGAAGTACTACCTGTAGCCCAGATTGTTCTCGACTTATTTCCGGTGTGTGCATTATGGTGAGAAGACTAGCTATTAGTGAACTAGGGAATGTTGACAAATATGACGAGTAAATCTATACGCAATAGCCGAAAGTATTTAACGTTCTTTGGCTTGACCTCAATTTCGTTCCCTTTGCTTAGAGTCTGTCTGAGAGCTGTTCCAGTGAAGCCAGCTCTCCACTGCGTCGACAAAACGAGTATTTGCAGCGCGAGAATGCAAAAATGCGGGATGCTCTGCAAACTTTGCAGCTAAATGAAGCGCGTTATCGAGGCACGATTGCTGGACTTCAAGTGAGTCTCATTAAACTGTTTAGTTCATAGGAAAAATTGATTTATATTCCTGCTTTAGTATTGTGTGCTTGCTTAGAAATGATTTCCTAAAGTTTCATTTTCTAAATTCTAGCGTCCGCATTATTATTAGCTTTTGTGTTATATGTGTTACTTCGAAACCAAGTCTGATGTGGCCGTCTGTTCTGGATTTTGCATTTCTGTTGAAATTTGAATGCAGGTCCAGTATTCGTTTTAAGCTAAATTCCTCAACCTTTCCCCATAGAAAAACAATCAGATTCTCAGCGTACTTGTGGCCAACACTCTGTACAATAACACCGCTGCTTTGGCTGCCCCGGCTCCTCGCAAGAAGCCTTTTGTTAAGTCGCTTTTTCGACGAAACGAACAAAAAACCGTGAGTCAGTCGCCAATGCCAACCGGCGACGGTGACAGCCAGTCGGGGGCACCCGATCGCTCGCCACGTGATTACTCGCCTGCTGTGAAACCGGGTGGGCGGCGCCACGGGGCCAGGAAACCGAGCAAGAGCAGCCCCGGCATCTCGTACCCCTCTGAGGTCCGACACGTTGTTCACGTGCCCAGCGAACTTGTCTTTGATCAGGCCAATGCACTTCCCAGTGAGTTAATACTATGACTTGTGTCTTGTCAAGATTCCGCTAGTGCATACGTCCTATTTTCATAGATAGATGGCCTTGTAATTGTGGTGAAGCTCTACTGGTTCATGAGGCACTTTGGTTTTTCCTAATTGTTGATTTTCTTTTTCGAATTAGCCACTTTATACCGGGGATTGAACTTTTCGCCTGGGAGTTGCGCCTATATAGCCCCGTCGGTTCCCTCTCCTACGAGTCCCACCTTATTTGCTGGGGGTTCTACTTCCTCATCTTCCTTTCTACGTCCCCGCACTGACAGTCAATCGACCGAACCCCCACTTCATCCAGGCAGTTTGATTTTTTCGCCCTCAGATGATGCCGCTGAAACCGCCAGATTTTTTGCTTTCCTCAATGTGCATAATGGATTCACAGCTCCCCAACCGACATCTCAGAAGCGGTCTCAACAAAAACGACAGGCCAAATCCCTCAATGTAGAAGGTTTAACGAGCTACAAGAGTGCCCCTGAGCTATCTGAGCAGGTGAATCGCTCTGTGACAAAGCTTAACACCCTGGAGGGCAGGCACACAGTCTCAAGTAGGTTTCTTTATCCCTTTGATAGTTGTTTTTTGTTTTCAGGTAATTTATTATGGCAGAGTTGAAAAGCGCAAGTGTAGACGGTAAATTATACGCAAATGCTACTCTTCGTTTCATGTTTTTTTTCGCAGGAGGTTCTACTCTTGAACCCTCGACTTCATCCAGTCGGAAGCCTGTCACTTCCTTGGCCTCAGGCTCACAAGGCGGTGGTGGTGGTTCCTCAAAGCGTCATCGAATGGGGCTCTCAGCCCTGTTCCACACTTCGCGAAGCAAGCACAGCAGCACCTCCGGTAAGCCGTCTTCCCCCTTAGTCGAATCTGTTTCGTGTCTGCCTCCGGCGCCGCCGTCAACTACTGAACCGTCGCCCACCCCGCTTTTGCCTCCTTCCACTACCTCTGTCACAACTGTACAACCACATCGACTGGGTAATAAAAGAAAGTCCTTCTCGACTACACCACGAAAAATCTTGCTGCATAAAATTTTCCAGACAGAACGTAACAAACAAAGGCGAATTAATAGCGGCAATAGCAAAACGTCACCATCAGTCACGGCAAGTAATCAAACAGAATCCACCTCCCCTGCTTCTCCGAAATACTTACCTGAACAGGCTACCCAAAGCAGTTCTGAGTTCGAAAATATGAAAGCAGTAATGGAGACGTCCCAGAGGTAGGTCGCAGCATTGGTTTTCCTCTCGCATCCTCTTGACCCGCTGTGAATAATTTTTTTTAAAAATTGTAGTGCCCTTGTTCCAGCTGCCGGAACGATCCCTCCACTTCCGCCTTACCTTCTGCGTCAGGGAATAAAGGCGAAGGAACCCCGCCGTCGGCTTCTTGACATTGTCCGGTCACCTCCTTCGCTTTTTTCTAGCACCGTTTTCTCAAATGCTCGCCCTTACGCCCCCTCTAATATCTCAGATGAGGAGGTGAAAGGGGAGTTTCGAAGGCGTCAATTTGTGCGTTGCCCTAAATCCCAGAGCCTCGACATCCTCTTCCAACCAGAAGAGATGAATGGAACAGACGTGTCCAAAGGACAGGAAGAAGTAAACCCCATGAATCCAGTGCCTTTAGCCCTATGGTCTGCTCTCAAGATTGCGTCGTTAGCCCCTTTACTGCTTGGGAGCCAAAACCGTATTAATATGAGCACCGTGCCCTCGCGCTCGGAACCGCCAACCGCGCCTCAGTCGGCATCTTTTACACGAGTCACCTTTTCGCCATTCACTTTTAATGGTGAAGATGTGAGTTTATTCATCATTCCTTATATCAAAGTGTATTTCTTTTTGAGTCCCTGAGTTAATTAAGTCAGTGGCCTTCAAACACCTTGGCTCCGAGTCACTTCACTCCATGAGATTCCCAGTCGTAAATGGGCTCAGCGTTTCCTTGTTAAATCATCGTCAGATGTTTAGGGTCTCCTGCTTGCTTTTTCTAGCTTACCAATTGTTACTTGAATCACAAACTCAAATGAGTAATGTGGGTTTTACTGTTTGAGGGTTTTCATTTTGTTTTCGTCAGCTCACAGCCACCGCTCTAGGAAAAGCCCAATCTTGTCTGGGCCGAATTTCCTCAACTTTGGCACTGACCACTGCATTTGTCGGTCGAAGTCGCCACCCCACACGAAAGCCATGGAACGCACAACGAGAACTCTCTGCACCCACGCCCAGTTCATCGCCATGGCAGCAAATGTTAAATCATCCTCCACCTGTGTACTATTCACCGCCTCCAGGTGGTGGACCCGACACCTGTTGCAAGTGTGGGTGTCACTCGACGGGTGAAAGCCGACAGTCGTCTTCGGCTACGACTACCACCTCATCTCAATCATCCTCTTCGTGGCTGCCCGTGGACAATCCTGTGGCCCTCTCCAGAGATGCCTACCTTAAGGTAGGCGTACTTAGCTAACGCACCCTCATCGCCCTATGTACCACCATAAATTTGCGCATGTCCACGCGCCTTCCCGGTGTAGTATTAGTATATCTTACTCCCAGAAAAACCCCTCATCGCAAAATTTCTGAATCACATTTACTATTTTCATACCTTCATACCGGTCAAGAGCATCGGAAAGCTATCTTCGAGTAATGGAAATGCAATATGCCAACCCAAGATTTTCTTGCTTACTGGTTTCTAGGCAGAATACGTTCATGATATCTCTAGTTGCAGATTAATGTACATCCACTATTTCACCAATTAATCAAATCAGGACCAACGGCCACACTGATCGAAACACCATTTGGCGCAAATTTGTTTGCCCCTATGGTAAGGGTTCTGCTCTTTGCTTACAAAGTTTATCCTTTGTTCTCGTCTTTAGGTAACCCAAGATGGCTATCTCAACCGTTCCGCAATCAACGGAAACTTTAACAATGACGATAAAGCAGGTGGTGTTCAATCGCCATCGATGTTACTGATGCAATCCGTTGGTGGGTTCTCGCCTTCTCCCCTCTTCTCGCACAGTTCTTTTCTTCACCAGCAACAGCGATCCAGTAACAGTCCTACTGCATCCTTCCTTGGATCACCCGATGCTGTGGACCCGGTAGACGATGTGATTCTCCTGCCGGGGGAAGAAGTCGGGGAGCCGAGTTTCGGCGCAGGAGAAGCAGCTGAAGATACTGCAACTCTGTATGCGGAATTCCAGCAGCTACCAAACCAAACGAGTTACGAAGCCGTCTTTGATGCCAGCATGAGTGAGGTCAGGAGCGTCGAAAGAGGCGGTTACGTGAGTTCGACCTGAATTTAACCCGACTAACCACAAGCATTCACCAGTATTATTAATTTTTGGACTCGAACCAGCCGGGCCCGGTATTCGTGCATTGTATTCTTAGATTAACTACATGAAGGGGTTCCTAATGACGTCGCTACAGTCCTGAACATCTGTCTAATTTGTTATGCCCGTTTCGCCAAAACTTGGCACACATGAATGCCGTGGTCACAGACTTCATGCGTCCCAAGAACTCTATTTGAAAACATCGCATTAATGCATTAGCCCTACACTTCTTAAGGCGCCGCTTCTGTGACTAGACAAAACAATCCCCATCATTACATATTGTGAACCAGTTGGCGCCATAGTCCTCTCTAGACGCAGACACCACCTACGCGTCATCCACATCCCCGTTTTGCCCCAAACACAGATTCGTAACTCACATGTGCCCGGTAGCTTTAGTCAAGACAGCTTAAATTTACAGGCTCCTATCCCCGATCTGTCAATCCCGGTGCCACATGAGCCAGGTGGAACAACAGGGTCGACTGCGGATCGTCCCACAGACTTGCTTTCCTTTCCGTGTCGCCGACGAAAGGCATTCCGTCTGAAGGACAAACCTGAAGGACTGCTCAGCTCCCCCGAAGACGAAGTGGAAAGCGACGCCGGCTGCAGCGACAACTCTACAATCCCCTTAACCCCCTAAAGTAACTCCCACGTAGCTTGCATTTAACTGTCCCCGGTTTCGCTGTTTCGCTTACAGACAAACTATTTTTTGTACAGCTTCTACAATAAGCCCATTTGTGATTACAGTAATAAATGCTATTAATTAAACGGTCATCGCAACCTCTGATTATTGTTTCAAGTAGCCCTTATTTCTTACTGGGGTAACATTTATTTACAAATGAAGGGGCAACAAAACTGAAGAAAATCATACGGGCTCAACGTAGTCGGGGATGCCAGCAACTTCAGGATTCGGTTGCTTTGCCCTCCTCCTAAGTACGTCAAATGTCGTGAAATGTGTGAGAAAAGCAGTCGGTATTGACACTCCCTGGGCTCTGTAGACAAGTTGGTGATGGGAGTCATTCGGCCGTACATGTCCTGGTGCCAGGCGGCCTAAAAGCCGCAACGAGACCACCGAGAACCGGCCAATTAATGACGAATTGGAAATCAACGGAGCTTCGGCACAAGCCTGAAAAAAAAGGTCTTACTTGATAGGAAATGAATAATCAGTATTTAAATGAGACTTCCTTAATCGGCTTAAGTTTTGCTGACACGACCCATCGAAGTAAGCTTTAAAAAAAGAAATTTCTCAAGTGTACTTTGATTAAGGACTTATATAAATTTATCCATGCTCAAGTCAAGAAAGCATTCGACGCCCATTAAATTGATAAACCCATCGCGCGTGACCTAAACCGAGGTGCGGGGTATTATAGGATGCAAAATGATGCGCAGAATTTGCTTAAATTAGAAGGCAGTACTGGAATTATTTGGTATTTTTTCCAGCTAATGAATTACGTAAGAACAAGGTGTTTTCTTAATTGATCAACAGGATGTTTCCTTTCATCTATTACCGCTGGTTTATTTTTACAGTGATGAAAATTGGATGAAATACCTGGGTGTAATTGCCAATACGATAGATGGTGATATGTCCCGAGTCAGCTTCCCGATTAAGGCGGTCTAATCGATTATCATCCCGCAGTAAATTTCCGATCTCCTGCGATTTGGCATCAAGACATTCAAAAGGTTGCGAGTTAGCAGCAATGAGTTGACCAACATGAGAAAGGGAACGTAGTTCACGTTCTGTTGGCTGCCAGTTGACCATTTCCTCCAAAGAATTCTTTGAGTGCAATTCCATTCGAAAGTCCGCAACGAAGCTGCCCGATTCGAGGGATGTTTTATGGAAGGAGAGTAAACGCATGCGAAATTTCTCCTTGAAGGCCGATTCAACAGCAGCCCCCATGATGAACTGACACGAACGCCAGAATGCTAGATTCGCTGCTGTTGGATTGTGGTAAATGTCCTAAGACAAGAGTTGTGAACGAAAACAATTAGATCTGCCCCGAAAATGCCAAAACTTACCCAAACAGACTTACTTTAGGATCATTTTGGAGATTTCAAAAAAAAGAAAACCTCAAAATTCTGCGATAGAAACCTTATATCAAAACAGACATGATAAAACACTTTTCGAAACGACTGACTGCAACGAAATATCACATGCCTCCAAAATATGATTGGACGTGGTGAGAAATCGTTAAATGTAACTGCGATTGTGAAGTAACTAAATTTTGAAAACGACACAACTTAACAACCGCGCAAGAGGGCTTAAATTACTGAACCTGTTTGCTGCAGCGGAAGTGGGAAAAAATGACCGAAGAACTCTAGGCAAGTGGCCTCGACACATCAGCAACTAAAGGAATTTGGGAACTGTACCCAAAAACCCATTCCGGGTAGTTTGGGGAAACAACAGTAGCAACAGATCCTCTATTATACACAAGTATTTTAGGGCAATAATTACATAAAATAAAAAGATATGTCGAATCTCCGGGGCGGAAGAAGCGAAGACTCAATAAGCGCAGCAGGCTTAAGCTTAAAGAGAAATCAACTGATAATATTATTAGCAGATGCATTTGATTTTGATATTTAAAACGTGAAATATCAAGGAAAGGATGAGATGTTGGGGTAATATAATTATCTTCGAAAACAACGACCGAGTGAGCTTTTATAACACCAAACATTACAGCATAGCTAATTGATTCATAATAAAGAAATATTGAAAAAAATTGACCTATATAGCAAAGCACTTTGAGTGGAGTTTTCCGTAGATGGTAGGGGAAAGCTGAATGAGATAAAACAGAAAAACAGTGCATTATTGGCAAACGCTTACCTTAAAATGAATGAAATCAAGTGTTGCATCTGCAACAAGAGGGCGATGCATGTCAAACGGAATATCATTTACGAGTGCAATAACGCTCCTATCGCACAACATTTGAGACAGGTGCCTTGCACAGTCAAATGGCGTCGATATGCCTTTCGCCATACTTAAGTCAGTTTCTGGCTTAGGTGAGCCCTTGTATACGACTTTGATACGCTCAATGCGAGGCGAAGCGTGCAACTTCAAGGTGGCCTTTTTTGCATCTTGCCATCTACGTAATCGATTAACGATGTCAGGTGGAAATGTCACATCAATCGCTTTGGTAGCTACCACCGAAGCACTAACCAAATTACTAGAGAAACGACGGGGTCTTAAAAAAGACATGGCTTTCAAAAGCGCGCGTTGCAATCAATCAGCAAAACACTTCCGAATTGTGATATTCTACTCTTATCAACATGTTAATAAGACAGCTAAAAATTATTTCTTAAAATATATCACGTTTTCTTTGTTCTAAGTATAAAAAAGACACAATACTCAGAAGTATCAGTTTTTTTATCTTCCAAAGTACGCCCATGCAAATAAAAATATTATAATTTCGCACCCATTCAGAGGCATTTAGTGGACATTTTTTATTTTGCTTTACTTAAATACAATTGCTTAGCAATCAAATATATTTCTATATATCATACACATTGCATTTTTAGGTGTTTATAGACCACTACTAGAATTTAAAAAACGCTATTTGATTGTTGGTAACATTATATTGAGTAAAGTAAATAATAGCCTGTGTACACACCTTCCTCTACATGTTACACTCCGGAATCTACGTGCGACAAGTAATATCAATTTTTGTAATTAATCCATTGCTGATGTCTCAAAAGCAGCTGCATGAGTGTGTTGACGATCATAGGAATATTGTCGACCTCTACTTCATAATATTTGATTCAGCATGGAAATTGGGACAAATTTGCCAAAATCCACATACCTTCACGAATTTCACATCTCCACCAATATCAAAGTGGTTTTTAGCAGAAAGTTTCAACTGTCAATATTCCAACAGGCTTGTCCTACCGACTTTATGGTGTTTTACGTAAATCAAGGCAACTGATACCAACATAAATTTGACGAGTCCATTCATTTTATTTAGTTACACCGACTTTGCAGTAAGCATCACAGAGGTAAATTCAGTGTGCTTGTTCGTTTTTCTCGAGCTTCCAATTTGCCTAAGAGATCGTTAAAATTCATTTGAAGCCACGATAATTTAAGGGTGAAGAAAAGCCCTTTGCACGAATTGCGACCAGGGAGACTTATTAAAGATTCGTCCAATCTTAGTACCATCAACACTGATCGTGTTTACCCTTAACGTTCCAGGAAGAATTAAGAGTAATCGACTTAAATTCTCCCTGATAACATTTTTGAAGACTCTATTCAATCTCCGGCACTATTCTAAGGTTAAACGTAAAGCAAGGGATTGTGCCATTGCACAATTTTACTAAAAATTAAATCAGTGGAAGTGGGCTGCGGAAATTTCAATGCACTTTAACTAAGCACAAGTTTGGCTCACGCAATTATTTCTAATTAAAAGAACGACTTGCTGTAAGGATATTTGACATAATCTATCAGACTGATTGATCAAAGGCAGCCTCTTTCCATTTTTCACTGGTATAAGTCATTCAGGTGTATGGATTCTAGGGATCAGAAATATATGATGAACATCTGGCATGCAAATCAGTCAGCCTTGAAAGACCGACGCAGATAAAAATGAGCGATTGCCTAAGAACCGGTCAGCGACAAATGACTGTGCGACAAGGCTTTCAGGGCCTTCGCAACAATGCGACCTACGAGATCGG